GAAACAGGTCCTTGCCCAAGATCACACAGTAAATTATTTTTATTTCTTTCTTTTGCCAGTTCTAGGGCTTGAACTCAGTGCCTGGGTGTTGTCCCTGAGCTTCTTTTTTGCTCAAGGCTAGCATTCTACCACCTGAGCCACAGCACCATTTCCACCTTAAAAAAATTATTGGAGATAAGAGTCTTATAGACTTTCCTGCCTGGGCTGGTTTGGAACCACAATCCTCAGATCTCAGCCTCTTCAGTAGCTAGGATTCCAGGTGTGAGCCACTGGTGCCCGGTCTACAACAGTAAATTAAAGCTACAACTAAACCTCACAGTGGTGCAACCTCGGAAGACCCTGGATGTGTGTGTGGGGGGGGCTCTTAGACCACTCACAAGGGTCCCTCAGACTGGCTCTTGAATCCAAGTCCTGGGATGTGATCACCCAGTGAGAAATGCACATGGGCAGCCATCCAGAAGAGATGGGCAGAAAGACCTCTGCTGGACTGATGCTCTGGACCCTAGCACTGGATCTACATCTGTGAGTTCAATCTTTGCCTTAAGTCCTCATCATCTGAGTAGTTCTCTGCCTCTGCCATCACTTCCAACCAGCTTCCTGGGGGGAAGTTCCTTGTATCTCTCGCATTCTCTCTCTTTTGCACCAGTCCTAGGTCTTGAACTCAGGACCTGGTTGCCAACTCTGAACTTCTTTTGCTATCCAGGCTATTGTTTGACCACATGAGCCACAGCTCCACTTCTGGCTTTTTTTTTATTGGAGATAAGGGTCCTGCCAGAGTTGGCTTTGAACCATGATCCTCAGCTCTCAGCCTCCTGAGTAGCTAAGATTACAGGCATGAGCCACAGGCACCTGGCTCAGTTCCTTGTATCGCTTAAGGGTCTTGTTCTTTCTGTGTTACTTCTCATCTCTCTACCTTCTGAGACTGAATTTCTCTGACTTGGTCTCTGACTCTGTCTGCCTAGAGCTAAGCTGAGCTGGGTCAACCTCCCACCCAAGGGGCCTTCAATGGTAGAGTGACCCAATGTAGATAATGCTTGGGCCCAGTGCCCAGGCTGGGACAGGTGACAGCAGCTGTGGATCTATCTATAGTTCCCTTGCCCTTCAATTGTTCTCAACTTCAAACAATGGTTGGGCCCTGGATTAGAGATACCCCCCACCAGCCCTGCTGTAATGGATCTCAGGGGGCAGGAGATGAGCTTTACCAGGGCTCCATGGTGATCTTTCATAGGCGGCTACCTGTCTAGACCTAAATGCTCCCACCTATAACTCTGGGCTTCAAAGCCTTTCAGCTCAAAGGCTCTGTGACTGTAGGACTTGTGAATAAGGGACAAGGCTGTGTCTGAATAGCAGACCTGTATATGGGCATGTGGATATGAGACATGTGGTTGGCAGTTATTCAGGAGTATTGGACTGCCAGTGCCAGGGCAGGGCAGAGACCTGGTCTTTCTTACACACTGCTATAGGCTAGCCTCTACCTGGCAAGTGTTTCTTCCCTTGGCTTTTAAGAAGAAGAAGATAGTATCATAGAGAGAAGTGACTAAAGCTTGAGAGGCAGGCCAGAGTGGTGAAGAATGTCTTGTCTAGATTCAGACTGCCTTCGTTAGAATTCTGGCTCTGCCAATTATGAGCCTCAACATCTTGGAGAATCATTTATGCTCTTAACAGCAGACATTCCTACATAATGCTAGCAGTAGGGCTGTGGTCAATGTCTTGTGAGCTAAAACATCTGGAGTACTCAGTACTAGTGGAGACTTAATAACATTTGAGCTGCTAAGTGTTTGCTAAATGAACCAAGTTCATGTTCAACATGATCCTTGAAAATAACCCCCTAGTTGGTGCTGGTGGGGAGCAGCATGGGCAAGGGCTGGTCCCCAGCGTATAGGTCCACTGTCCTCTGCCTGATTCTGAGTCCTAGGAGCACTCTCTTCCAGCCAGCCCAGTGGTGGAAAGTATGCCCATTCAAAACCATCTGAGAGCAAATGGTGAGCCAAAGGGAGGCCTCCTAGCCTCCATGCCAATTAGCAGCAGGGGGTGTGGCACAGGCTCCTGTTCCCCCGCTCTGGCCTCAGCCTCCAATCTTCAGCCCAAGCTATTCTTAGAATCCAGACAATGCTAGCAGTTGCTGCTGCTGCTTATATTAGTTTCCAGAGCACAAGGCTGAGATCAGTCTCCAGTACCAGCATGCGTGTGTGCGCACACATGCCTGCGAGCATGCACACATACACACACAGATAAGGTAGTTACACTGGAAATACTTTATTTTGCAAGCTGTTTAGTAGATATGTATGTTCATGGTATTGATCTTTACATCTTTTTCAATGGTTCTACAGTAAGTAAAAAGTTAAAGTATTTCTTTAGCCTAGATCTGTATCTATCTGGGCTGCTGGGGTGATATCATGGTAAAATCAGATTCCATCCTGCATAAAAAGAGATGAAATAGTAAGTGGAGAAGAAGGACTCCAGGTAAATCAGTTCTCCTTTCTGAGTCTCTTTGCTCATAAATAAAATGAGAGCTAGATTAGAAGCTTGTGAGCCGAAGATCTCAGAGGATCCTGGAGCCTAGAAATCTTCTTTGTCAGCCCACAGCCCTTCCAGAAGTTCATCATGCACACAGCACAGGCTCTAGAACCAGTGCTGGTGCTCACAGCTTCTAGGGGCCTAAAAGTCTAAATTCCTTGAATTTCTTTTTGGTAAAATAAAGACAATAATATGTCCCTCCCAGGATTACTGCAGGAATCTAAAGGAGATCATACACATGATTGCCTGGCACACAGAAAATGTTCCACATGTGGGAGAACCTTCACTTTGGTTCCGGAGCAGTGAGACTGAGCTAGGCCCGTGCTAGGGGCTGGAAGGCAGAGAATTCCTCTATGAATGGCGAGAACAGTGCCCCCCCCCCCAGCCAAGTGGGGAGATAGTCTCAAAAACAAGGCCAGGAGGCGTGATGTCATACCTAAAAAAAGAGACAGGAGCTCTATACACAGATATAGACCATATTGGGGGTTGGGGGGGGGGAGAATATAGATCAAACTCAAGTCTCACACATGCTAAGCAGTGATCTACACTAAGCCAACTCAGCTCTCATCCTGTTTCTTAATCTGGGACCTCTGAGTGGGCCCGAAATCATCTGTGCATTCCTCTGCATGGTACATAAAAGTTTGTGTCTAATGCCTCCTCTCAAAGGTAGCCTGAAAGGTAACAAATCACTAACTGGAGATAACAGTATCTACCTTGAAAGGCTGTGAGAGGATTCAAAGAGGCAATTTAGGAGAAGGATCTGACATTATAAGCTTTCAATAAATGTCAGTTTAATCTCCCCCGCCCTGCCTCCTCCAGTCTACTTCCAATATTCAACAAATACAATTGAGTATCTCCTAAGTGGCAGGCACCATTCCAGGGGTCCAGTGGTGAAAAAAAGAAACAGATATTGGTTCCGCTTTTTCTTTTCTTTTTTTTTTTTGATGGTTGTGGGGCCTGAACTCTGGGCCTGGGCATTGTCCCTCAGCTCTTCAGCTCAAGGCCTGCGTCCTACCACTTGAGCCACAGCAACACTTCCAGCTTTTTCTGCTTAGTGGTACTAAGGAATTGAACCCAGGACCTCATGCATGCAAGGCAAGCACTCTACCACTGAGCCACCTTCTGCTTTGATGGAGCTTACATTCCACATTACTTTTCTGTTTTGTTGTTTTGTCAGTCGTGGGGCCTGAACTCTGGGCCTGGGCACTGTCCCTCAGATCTTTAGCTCCAGGCTAGTGCTCTACCACTTGAGCCACAGGGCCATTTCCTGCTTTTTCTGTTTATGTGGGCCTCAAGCATGCAAGGCAAGACTCTACCATTAAGCCACATTCCCAACCCCCTATTTTTTTTGTGTGTGCCATGGTGCTGGTGCCTGCCCTCCCTCTCAGCTTTTTCTCTCTCTGCTGGCACCACTACTTAAGCCATGCTTCTTCCACTTCTGTTTTTCTGCTGGCTAAATGGAGAGAAGTCTCAGATTTTCTGCCCAGCTGGCGTCTCCCATCCTCAGACCTCAGCCTCCTGTGTAGCTAAGTGTGAGCCACCAGTACCTGGCTGTGCCTTTGCTGCTTTTGCTTCTGCTACTTGGAACACTCAGTGATCCACCCCTACCTCCACCACTGTCTGTCCATTCTGTCATTCATCCTTCCCTGAATCTGACAAAAAAAAAAGCAATTGACCATTTCTTTTTTAAACTCAGATTGAAAGCAAGGGCTGTATTTTATCAATGGCCAATTCCTTAAGTTTGGGATGATAAAATTCTGATCAAGTGCTTCAGATTGCAAACGATCCTTTTAACCCAGTGGGAAAAAAGTTAAGGCGTTGGGGGGGGGGGCTGCCAAGAGGGTAAAATGGGGGTGGGATCATGAATTCGCCTATTTTACCAACTTCCCCGGGTTCCGATGCAGATGGTATTGAAGCTGGAAAACACTGGGCCACCCCTCAAGCTGTCCTGATGTGAAAATTCATAGAGATACAATAAACCTTTCCTTTGGCCTCCAAGGCTTTCTTGGAGATGGCCCTCCCACGTGTTTTTTCTTTTGGGGGGAGGGGAGGATTTGACTGGGCTGGAGAACAACCTGGGTTCTAACACAGGCTCTGCTTCTAAGGTGCTGTGCGGTCCTGCTTCATCCTCTGACCCTCTCTGGGCCTCTGTGCTCCGCGTCCCCCCCCCTCTCAACCTCCCACCCCCGTCAGTGCCAAGTCCCTGAGGTGGGTAGTTAGTGGTCGCCTTCGCTCTGCAGTTCTTTCTTCTCACACTGGCCGTCGCCACCTCCGACCACGCGGATGCAGCCCGACCCTACCTCTACTTTCCTAGGGCCGTTCGCCCGAGCGCACCTCTAAAGCCCCGGCGACTCTCAGCACACACCTACTGCCCCTTCCAGGCCGCCGTCCAGCTGCTCAAGCGCAGGTCCCCGCCCCCGCCCAAGCTCCGCCCAGTATCCTCAGCGGAGGGCCGGGCGCGGCCCACGGCGCCTGCGCGGCCCCCGCCCACCACGCCTGGGTAACGGCGCCGGGAGTCCGAGTGCGGCGCGCGGCCGGAGGAGGACAGAGTAGGTTCTGCGACGGCGGCTGGCGAGGGTCACGCTTCCTCTCCCGTCCCCTCCACCCGGGGGGGGCAGCGCCGAGGGGAGCGAGGGAGGGAAGGAGTCGCGGAGCGAGCGGAGCGCGGGAAGCCCGAGCGCGTCGCGGTCCGGCCCTCCGCGGGCACCGGGGAACTCGTGTCCAGTGCGGGGGGTGGGGTTGGCACGGCGCGTGTGGAGCCTGGCTTTTTCCAGATCTGCCCGGTGTCAGCTCGTGAGATCAGAGCCAGAGTTTAAGGGGGGAAAGAAAAGAGAAGAGAAGAGGGACCAGACTTTGCCCTGAGTGGGAGCGACGGGCCGTGGGGGCCGGCGGCCAGGCCCGGGGCGGGCTTGGGCCTGGCCGTGGGGGTGAAGTCAGACCGGGTTGTCCTGGCGGGCGGGGTAGGACTTTGGGTGACTCACTCGTCATTCATTCCTTGAAGGATCCTGGAGTAACGAGCTGGGAAGAGAAGTGCCCGAGGCCAGTGCCACTTCCTCGCACCGGGGGAAGGAAGGAGCGGGGTGGTCAAGCCCAGGGCAGAGCACCGGGGCTGCTTTGGAAGCCATCAGGAGTGGGGGCGGGGGGCGGGGAGGGAGTGTTACCAGAGGGGGAAAAAAACCATCTTCCAAGGCCTGGAAGAGGGAGAGTGGCCGGTGTAGCCTGCAGGCTGAAGATACTTCACGTGAAACTTTTAGTGCCCGGGAAGAGATGGGGTGGGAGGTGGAGGGGAGGAACTCGGAGACCAGTGCACAGACCTTGAGAATTCAAAGCTGTCCGTATATTTAGGCAGCAGAATCCGGGGGACTGGAGAACAGGACCTAGGAGCAAAGTACACAGGAGGCTTGGTGCCAGAGTAAGATTCATCAGACAAGAAGCAGATTATTATTTTTTTAGGGGGTTGGGCGGTGAGTGGGAGGACAACTTCTGTTGGAAGCAGCTGGATATTCCCGTTTGAACCTCAGGAAAGTGCAGCCTTCAAAACTGCTGATTTGTGTGGTGTTCAGCAAAGCAGACCTAAGTCACCAGGAGGATTGAGGCAACAGAATGAGGGAAACAATGCTGGCTTGGTGGTTCTGGCCCGTATTGTGGTTTGAGGCCGCCGAAGGTACATGTGAGACTTCATCTCAACTAGTGGCAGAGTGCTGTGGTGTGTAGTTATCATTCTAGCAAAAGGGGCTAGTGGAATGTCTCAAGTGGTACAGCACTAGGAAGCTTTGAGTTCAAACTGCAGTACTGCCCAAAAAAGTGAGGGGAGGGGATAGCACTTTTCATAGTGAACATTACTATAATTACTATGTCAAGACAGGATCTTACTATATACACAGACTGGCCCTGAATTTGCAATCCACCTCCCTTAATTTTCTGAGTGCTGAGATTACAAGTGTGCACTACTATACCTGGCCAAAGTGATTATTTTTATGTCTTACCATTCTATGTTCCTAGTATGTAGCCAAGAACCTGACATTAGGAATATTTGCTGATTAGGCAAAAGCCATGCAGCACAAATACTGGAATTCCAAAGTTGTGGAGAGTTGGGGGCTAATGGAAGGTTCTGTTGCTCTAATGTTTTGTTTTGTTTTCCCTTTCTGGTACCAGAGATTTGAACTCAGGGCCTGGCACTCTTGCTCGACTTTTTTGCTCACAGCTGGTGCTCTACCACTTGAGCCACACCTTCAGTACAGAGTCATGTGGTTTTGTCTTAGTTCTGCCACTAGGCTGCTGTGTGAAACCTCCAACAAGTCTTATTGCCTGTTAAGTAGGTATGGTCAAAACAAAACAAATGAACAAACAAAAGCCTCTCATGTTATTTTCTGTATGGTTTGGTTCTGGTTTGAATGTGTCTCTCAAGGGTTCCCGTGTTGGAGTCTTGGGGCCCAAGGTAGTGACTGGGGCAGGGCAGGGGGGGGGAGAATTAAGAGGTGAGGCCTAGTGGAAAGTCTTTAGGTAGTTGCAGTTACTGCTGCTGGAAGAGATTAAGATAGTTCTTGTTGGACCCTGAGTTCTGGGAGTGAGTTGGCATAAGCCCTAATCACCCTTTTTGGCTTACTGTCAGGACTGCCATTGTAATGCTTAGTACTGCATAGCCAGTACTAGGCCCCTGCACCTCTAAAGCTATGAACTAAATAAGCTTCTTTATAAAAGTTTCAGCTTTGGACATTTTTTTTAAAGTAACAGAAAACAGACTAACAAAAGTTCCAAATACTGCTGAGAAACTTCACACTGATTTTTGTCATGTAATCCAAACAGTGACCTTACTGATAGGGGAAATAATAGTATTATAGACTCAAACCCAGGTTTTCCTGACTCCAGAATCTTGTTCTATATTATGACTGTTCTCATTTACTTCACTGGACAGAGATGTTAATAAGAACCTTCTTGGGAGCACACACTCATTCTTTTAAAACATTGTGCTTGGGTGGCAGACTTGATAATTGATTTAATACCAGTTTGGTCATTAGGCAAGAGAGGCAGGACTGAAAGTGCTGGAATTACCTATCATTTTCTAACATTGTTCTTGGGGCCACTGTGTGAGACGCCAGCCATACCATCTTAAAATTAAATGACAACAAGGCAGAACAAAATTAATACTGGTGTTTTTGCCCAAATCCCCTTCTCACCCCATTGCAAAAAGAATGAGATATTTTCTGGGTTGGGCTAGAGCACTTGTTCTAACAAGCACAAGGTTGAGTTTGAACCCCAATTGTTTGCTGCCAATAAAGAGTTCACTTTATTGCTGGATACCAGGGGCTCATGCCTATAATCCTAGGAGACTGAGATCTGAGGATTGTCTTGCAAGCCAGAAGTGTGGAGCAGTGGTTCAGGTGGTAGAGCTCTAGCCTTAAGCAAAAAAGCTCAGGGACCAGCGCCCAGGCCCTTAGTTAAAGCCCCAGTACTGGCATGCACACGCACATACGTGCACACACACAGTTCACCTTATCTTAATTTCATGTTATTCCACAAAGGGCTCTTGCCTCATATATGATTGGTTTGGTTTGTTACATGAGATGCTGGAGTGAGAAGGGAAATTAATCATCTACAATAATTCTCATCCAGGACAACTTTAAAAAAATACAGAACTTCCACCCTTTCCTCCTTTCAGGCCTTTTCAACTTCAGCCTCTTGCTGTGAGGTCGAGGGGAGTGGTAGTGGTGGAGAGAAGGCAGCAGGTTCAGTCAGGTTTGTCACTGCTGATCTCTCTCCCAGCCACTTTGCTTCACAGGTAGGAAATCTGCAGTTCTGAGAGGGGAAGGGATTTGTCCCAGTCATATATAACATTACTACTTTCTCTAAAGAGTGTTGGACTGGAAATTCAGAAGCCTGGGTGCAAGCCCAGACTTAAAGTCTGAGACCAATTACACTTCCTTACTGTGAGAATAATGCCATTGCTGTATTGGGAACTCTAGAAATGAAGCGCTGGGACCAGCCAGTGTTCATTCCCTGCACCACACTGTCTTTTCAGGAGACCTGGTCAAGAGTCCTGCAGTGTTTGGGAGGTGGCTAGTTGCAACTTTGAGTGGTTGCTGGACCCCTGCCCTCTGTCACCTGACTGTCACAGGTTGGGATGGCCACCAGCTGGGGGAGCCTCTTCCAGGATGAGCAGCAGCTGGAGGAGCTGGCCAGGCAGGCGGTGGACCGGGCCCTGGCCGAGGGAGTGTTGCTGAGGACCAAGCAGGAGCCTAGCTCTTCTGACGTAAGCACCAGCCCCACCCACAAGCTGGCCACGCCCCTCCGAGCCCGCTGCCTGGGCCCTGGCAGCCCCGGTCAGAGCCCGCCCCTCTCCCCCCCCCCCAAAGCTACAATTTATCTCATTCAGTAACTGAAACTAATCTCTGAAAAGATGTAAAGTAAAAAGCTGGAGTAGTCAGACTTAAATCTGTGCTTTGAAATGTGATTTGGGCAGATTACTTAACCTCTCTTAGCTGGGCTTTCTACACATACATTAATGTAATAATTGTAAAGCCTGTAGAATTGGTCAGAGGAATTAAAAGAAAAAAAAATCACATAAAGCACTTTGTCCAGGGAGCTGTTATTTATTAAGCTCCCCTAATCACAATGATTTGTGTGTTATCTGTTTATAAGTTTAGACATGTTATCTATAAAAATTGGTAGTTTTTAAAAACAAATGGAATCATATTGTTTGGGGATATGTTTTTGTGTTTTCTTTAACCATAAATCTTAGAACTCTTCTTAGTGCCTTCCATCAGGTAGGCTTTGTTCTGATGCAGGTGTGGCTGGATCAGCTTAGCTTCCTCTTCTGATGGCTATGGACAGGTGACTGCTAATGTTTTATAACTGCAAATAGCAGATGGGAAATCCATGTTCATGCCTGTTTTGTTTCTCCAGGATAAATATAAGAATGTAGAACCTAGCCGAGCTCTAATGGCTCACACCTGTCATCCTGGCTACTCAGGAGGGTGTGATCTGAGGATCACGGTTCAAAGCCAGTCTGGGCAGGAAATTCCATGAGACTCTTATCTCCAAATAACCAGAGAACAGGAAGTAGCTCTGTGGCTTAAGTGGTAGAGTACTTGCCTTGAGCCCAGGGACAGCACCCAGGCCCAGAGTTCAAGCCCCGCAACCAGCAAAAAAAAAAAAGTAGAACCTCTGAGCCGATTACTTTTTTTTTTTGCCAGTCCTGGGGCTTGAATTCAGGGCCTGAGCACTGTCCCTGAGCTTCCTTTTGCTCAAGGCTCTACCACTTGAGCCACAGCACCACTTCTGGCTTTTTCTGTATATGTGGTACTGAGGAATCAAACCCAGGTATTCATGCATGCTAGGCAAGCACTCTGCCACTAAGCCACATTCCTAGCCCCCCCATTATTTTTAAGAATCTCCTTGAGCTGGGAGTAGGTTTGTGTCTATACTCACAGAACTTGGGAGGCAGGAAGATTGATTTGAGTTCAGGAGTTTTAGACCAGCTTGGCAATAGTTAAAAAAAAAAAACATTAAAAAAACAACCTGTCACCTCTAGCCAGACACTGTTGACACATGCCTGTAATTCTAGCTAGTCAGGAGGCTGAAATCTAAGAATCACAGTTCCAAGCCAGCTCTCAAGTGGTAGAACACCCAAGCTCAGGAATAGTATCCAGGCCCAGCACTGATATGTGTGTGTGCACGCATGAATGTTCATACATGCATGCATGCATGCACACACGCACACACACACATATCAGTCCTCACCTCCAAAACAAAACTTAAAAAAAATAAAAAAACTTATTCCTAAAATAACAAAAACTTGTTTTTGTTTTGTTGGTTTTGGGGCTTGAACTCAGGGCCTAGGTGCTGTCCTTGAGCATCTGTGTGCTCAAGGCTAGTGCTCTACTACTTGAGCCACAGTGTCTCTTCCAGTTTTTCAATGATCAATTGGAGATAAAACTCATGGGGACTTTTCTGCCCAGGCTTCAAACTGCTATCTTCAGATCTCAGCCTCCTGAATAGTAGGGTTACAGGCATGAGCCATTAGCACCCGGCCAAAAACCTGTTTGAGACTAATAATATATTTCCATTGTTCAAAATTCCAAAGTTAAGAGTTTAATGTTTCACCCTCCCTTTTACATTCTCCTATCCCAAATGTGCCCTTTTTCTTCAGGTAGTTTATTCACAGTAAGTAAATATATAACATATAACTGTATTTTTTTTTTTTGCTTTTTTTTTTGTGTGTATGTGTGTGAGAGAGAGACTAGAGTTTGAACTCAGCATCTTGTAGCATTGAGCTTGGTAGATAGGGGTACTACCACTTGAACCACAAATCTAGTATTTATTTTCCTTGTGATTTTTCACTTAGGGTCTCTCTGTTATTTTTGTACAAGACCTGGCTTAGATCAATCTTTTTACTGGTAAACTCCAGAGTAGCTAAGATCACAGTTGTGCTTCTAGGCATAATTTGCATTGTTGAGATTAGGTCTCACTAACTTTTTTTTTTTTTTTTTTGGGTCCGGTCGTGGGACCTGAACTCTGGGCCTGGGCGCTGTCCCTCAGCTCTTCAGCTCAAGGCTAGCACTCTACCACTTGAGCCACAGCACCACTTCCGGCTTTTTTTTTTTCTGCTTATGTGGTGCTGAGGAATCAAACCCAGGGCCTCATGCATGCAAGGCAAGCGCTCTACCACTGAGCCGCCTTCCCAGCTCATAACTTGTCTTTTCTTTTTTGGTACTGGGGATTGAACCCAGGACGTTGCACTTGCTAGGCAAGCGCTTTGCCACTGAGCTACATCCCAGCCCTCACTAACTTTTTGTCTGGGCTGGCCTCATATCATGATCCTCCTAATCTCTGCCTCCAAGTAATTAATATTACAGCCACAACATCCAGCCTTTTCTCTTTTTTCTTGTATTGAGAAAGGCTTCTCACTATGTAGCCTAAATTGGCTTTAAATTTGTAATCTTTCTGCTTCTGCCTCTTGAATACTTGGATTACAGGCATATGTCACCATACATAGCCCCACTTTTAAACCAAAAGGCATACTAGACAAATTCTTGGGTACTTTTTTTTTTTATCCTTCCTAATTGCCAGTGTACTTCAAAGCCATCTATACTGGTGATTAAAGAGCTAACAGCAGGGGCTGGGAAGGTGGCTCAGTGGTAGAGCGTTTGCCTGGCATGCCTGAGGCCCTGGGTTTGATTCCTCAGCACCACATAAGTAAAAGCAAAAAGCCGGAAGTGGTGCCGTGGCTCAAGTGGTAGAGCGCTAGCCTTGAGCTGAAGAGCTGAGGGACAGCGCCCAGGCCCAGAGTTCAGGCCCCACGACCGGACCCCCCCAAAAAAATAATAAAAAAATAAAAGCAAAGCCAGGGGCGAGGAGGGTGGCTCAGTGGTGGAGTGCTTGCCTTGCATGCATGAAGCCCTGGGTTTGATTCCTCAGCACCACATAAGCAGAAAAAGCCGGAAGTGGTGCTGTGGCTCAAGTGGTAGAGTGCTAGCCTTGAGTTGAAGAGCTGAAGGACAGCGCCCAGGCCTAGAGTTCAGGTCCCACAACCAACACTAAACAACAGCAACAATAAAAGCCAGTGCTGGTGGCTCACACCTGTATTCTGAGCTACTCAGGAGGCTGAGAGCTGACAATTGTAGTTTGAAACCAGCCTGGACAGGAAAGTCTATGATTCTTTTCTCCAATTAATCACCAAAAAGCTCTGAGACCCTGAGTTCAAACCCCAGGACTGGCACCAAAAAGAAAGCTGCACAATCAGGTCACTGGGCATGTCTGGCCCACTTTACTACATGGCGGCAACCAGCTGGAGCAAAGTTGTGGCTGCATTTCAGATAAGATACCACTTCTCACCACCTTTCCTCACCTGGTATTTCCCTTGCCACAATCAGAGTGTTCTTGGCATCACGCATGCTGTGGTGTTTCTTGCACTGAGCTACTGTTACTCTTGTGCCCAGGTCTTATCTAAAGTAAGAGACTTTGCACTTCAGCCTTTAGCCCTGTGGCCTGCAGGAAGCAGCTGCATGCCTGCAATCCTACATTCAAGTCAGGTAATGAGTCCTGGGGGCTGAGGCAGAAGGAAGTCTTGGCAGAAAAACTCTGGGAGGTTTTGGTAGCAGATGAGACTTCTTGGGGGAGGTAAGTCTTAAAGCCAGAGGATTGCTGGTATAGTCATCACACATGCATTTTATATAAGCTACAGTAATTCCTGTTTAACTCAAGAAGGCTTCAGGATGCCAGGTGCCAGTGGCTCACACCTGTAATCCTAGCTACTCAAGCAGCTTAGATTTGAAGACTGTGGTTTGAAGCTAGCCTGGGCAGGAAAGTCTGTGAAATTCTTATCTCTAATTAGTCACCAAAATGACAAAGCTGGGCCCAAATGGTAGAGTACCAGCCTTGAGCACAAAAGCTCAGGGACGGCACCCAGGCCTTGAGTTCAAACCCTAGTATCAGTGCGTGTGTGTGTGTGTGTGTGTGTGTGTGTGTGTGTGTGTGTGTGTGTGTGTGTGTGTGTGTGTGTGTGTGTGTGTGTGTGTGTGTGTG